AGCCACCAGCAACCACCTGTCCTGGACCCGATTCCCATTTGTGATAATGCGTTTTAGTAAGAAGTCACATATCTTTCTTATGTTTCCTGCCTTGGACATGACTGATAATTTACCTGGACCCAGATTGTACTCCCCACTTCCACCCCCTCACCCCCACTTCCCTGTTCTGGTCTAATAAGTGCCGTGCTGGGGCAGTTCAAGAGCGGGGCTACCGTGTCTGCCTGCAATGTGAGGCCTGGAATAGCAGGCATGTCTGCAGGTCACAATAGGGGAGCAGAGAGACAGAGTTGCAGCTAATACCCAGCCTGTGTGGAGCTGCCCTCCTCAGCCAGGACTGAGGCTGGACTAAACTTTCTTCATCCATCATGGGTCAGGATGAATGCCTGTTCCCCACCCCCCATATACATAGTGAGCAGTATTATTTCCCCCAGGAAATGACAGTGCATGCCCACACAGTGCTACAAATGCAGCATCAGTCCTTCCAGAAGGAGGCAATGCACACTCGATCACACATTGTGAGCAATATAATTCCTTCCAGAGAGAGGCAGTCACCTACATGCACATCCTGAGTAAGCTCAGCATCTATATCTAGGTGCTCATGTGACACACCCACATGCAGCTGGACATTTTCCACTAACAGAGGGCAGCAGACACATGCATGCATGCACAGCGCACATACAAGATCCCATTTTTCATAGTTGTTAGGGGCTGGAAGGGACCTTACCAATCATCAGGCCCAGCCCCCGTGCACATCTAGGAAAGACTTCTGGGGTCAGATGACCCCAGGAAGGTGGGCATCTAGATGCTTTTTGAAGATCACCAGGATTTTCTCCAGCAGGATGCTGAAGGGATATACCGTGCATATTCTTGGGTACCCTGAAACAAATGCACAACTAGCCATGTTATCCCCAGCAGAATAGAAATGGGCACACATAGGAATATGTGTATACACACACACAGCGTTATATAACTGATATAATTTATTCCAGGTGCAAGCAGCAGCAACACACACACATATACACATACACACACTGCACAAGCACAGAGCATATCTATGCAAGGCATTTACTGCAGAGCAGACTAATTAGCTAAGCAGTAAACTCCTGCATCAAAGGAACTTCACTATTGTTCTTGAGTTCCTTTTTCCTTAGGCTGGCTGGACAGGCCAGGATTGGGGCATGACTGGGTCTTCTAGTCTTGGTTACATGCTTGTAAATTCAGATTTAATAGTAGTAATAGTAGTA